TGAATAAAAATCTAGTCCAAACCGTATACACATTATCGAGAGATTGTATTAATTGATCAGCAAAAGCTTTTATATATAAATTAAGATATTCAAATGATGCAATGTTTATTGACGCGAATGACTAGAAGAGGGAGAATAACTCATCAACAGAATTGATTTGGTTTAGTTTTACTTGGAAATTTTTACAGAGATGCTTTGAGTTACGTTCTCTACACTGTAGCCTTAGTTATTACATTGGTTTTCACTCAGTCTGAAAAAGTCGACTTATATTCAAACCTTTCGTAAGCATCCTATTTTTAAATATTATTAAAGATAAGTTTCATTACACGGCCCTATATAAACCCCTCAATATACACGAACTCGATAGCCTGTTGCTTTAGCAATGCCTCAATATGATATAAAAGGGGGGATTGTTGGTAATCTCTAAAACAATAATGGAATAGAATAAAACATTGTTATGGAGCAAAGTACGCACTATCTTGGTATACAATTGCTCATTAAACTTAATGTTCATTAAGTTAAAATTCATTTTAAGGCTGCATTTTGATAAAAATAGACAGCTAAAGATATTCTCCTCAGAAAACTAGTATAGATATCCAAAAGTTTTGGCTACCAGAGGAGTAAAATTTATAGTTTAAAATAATACTCAGAAAGCAACTCAAGCATGTGCGACAACTTAATTATATCCATATACATTTACTTAAAATTGATGTATTTCGGCCGAAAATCGTAATACGATAATAAATATTTTCATTAGATTTAAAAGTGAGATATAAACTTATAAATATAACATTTTTCCAAATATTCATTTATCCAAAAATTTATCTAAATAGGTGTGTTCTAAACTATAATAGAAGAATTTTATTAACAAAGGTTAAAATATTCAGTTATTTATTAAAATGATGCCTATAATAAATTACTATTATTATTATTTGTTGTAATAGAAGAACAATTAATTGACCATAATTTAATGACACTTGGCCACATATTTCAAGTAACTAATTAAAAAAACAAGAATTCTATTTTATATGAAAACCTACTTATAAACGAAAAATTAATTCTTAATAAACGGAAGTCTCGAAAAATAAGTAATATAGTC